TGTGGACAAGGTGTCTGTGTCTAGTGGTGGTGAAGTAGAATTATTCGAATTTGTAGGCTCAGATTTTTTTAGGGATGAAGATGATGTGCCAGTGAAGGGTATAAGAGTGTCATCAAATAGCAATGTTGTTGGCATAGGGAATGTAGGGTCATCGTTATTGGCAGCGGAAGTGATGTGAAAAGGGAACTCAGTTTCGAAAAATATGACATCACATGAGACAAATAGTTTTCCTGATTCAAGTTCATACACATGGTATCTTTTTGTCCATAAGGATAACCAAGAAATATACATCGAATTGCATGTGCATCAAATTTGGATGGTTTTTGAGCGTGCGTGGATGCAAAGCATAGACAACCAAAAACGCGTAAGTGAGAGTATTTTGGTGTGACTTTAAACAAAACTTCGTAAGGAGTTTTACCTTTCAAGAGAGGTGTGGGTGTGCGATTTATGAGGTAAGCTGCTGTGAGGATGGCATCCCCCAAAAATTGTTTAGGAAGCTTTGCTTGAAAAAGAAGGGCACGTGCAACATTGAGCAAGTGACGATGTTTTCTTTCAACCACCCCATTTTGTTGTGGTGTGTTGACACAACTAGTTTGATGAACGATGCCTTTGGGAGAATAGAAAGACTCAACCTTGAATTCAGGACTATTGTCACTACGCACAATTTTAACTTTGGAAGAGAATTGTGTCTCAACCATGTTAATGAATTTAACTAGAAGATCCCTAGTATTAGACTTATGGCACATCAAATACACCCAAGTGCATCTAGTGAAATCATCAACAATGGTGAGAAAATAACGTGCCCCTGAAAGAGATGCAATGTGATAGCCACCCCAAATATCAACATGTAATAATTTGAAAAGAGCATTGCTAGAAATGGCACTTAAAGAAAATTGTAATCTGGTATGTTTAGCCAATGGACAAACCAAACACTTGTCTGCGTCACAAATTTTATTGTTGTGTGAAAAGGAAAATAAAGAAGACACTTTGTTGGATGGATGCCCAAGACATTGATGCCAAAGGCTAGGAGAATGTGAGCAGATAGAATTGCAAAATGCTTTCTTGGTTTGATCAAGATAGTAGAGCCCCTCCCGTTCAGTTCCCATCCCAATCACCTTCCCCGAAAGTAGGCCATGTATTACACAAAAATGGTTAAGAAAAACAGTGATACAAAGGGATTGATAGGTGAGTTTACTGATGGAAATAAGATTTAGTTGAAGGACTGGGACGCACAAAACATTTTCAAGAACCAAACTATAGGAAAATATGATTTGTCTAATATGAGTAACATGAGCCATGGAACCATCTGGAAGTTTAACAGTTCTATTTTTGACAGGCTTCCAAGAAGTAAGTAAATCGAGACTAGAAACCATGTGCTATGTGGCACCACTGTCTAGGATCCAAGTAGTTTTCCTTCGTTAGTAGAAAAACAGAAGGCTTTACCTGAGAATTCGTCATGTGTTAAGGAATTACCCATATGATTCGCCATGGCACTTTTATTCTTGCTGAGCATGTTCAGGATTTGTTGGCATTGCTCTTGTGTGAAGGGAAAAGAATTGGAGAGATCCTTCTTCTCAAGTTGATGTGCAGAAACATGGTTACCCTTAGAATTACTCTTAGGTTTATCCGATTCAGACTTCTTGAGTTTGTGACAATAATCAATTGTGTGGCCTTTCTACCCATAATAAGTGCACTTCAAATGTGATCTGCAATTCTCTGTGTTGTGGCCAGTCTTGTCGCACTTTTCACACTTGGAGTTGTTACTTTTCTTCCTGGTGTCTTTCTGTGTATCTCTGGTTGCAAACATCGATGCCTCAAGTTGAGTCACTCCTTTTCCAGCAGACACATCACGCTGACGTTCATGTTTGAGAACAAGAGAGTAAGCTTTGCTAACCTTAGGCAGAGGGTCTGTCATTAATATTTGTCATTGCGTCATAGCGAAGAACTCAGTCAATCCCATGAAAAACTTGATAGTTTTGTGTGTTTCTCGATAGGACAATTCCTCCTTCGTAACTCCACAGTTGCAAGCTGAGATAGGACAAAGAATGTCCCTCTCATCCCACAAGCCTTTGAGTTTGGTAAAATAAGACCCAACAGACATGGTGCCTTAAACACAATCATGAATTTCATTTTCAATTTAGAAACGTTGAACACTGTTTACCTAAGAAAAGCGTTCTCGCAACTCGTTCCAAATTGCTTGTGCTCCATCACAGTAGAACACACTAGCTGCAATCTCCTTAGAGATCGAACTCAATAACCAAGTTTTGACCAGGTTGTTGCAGCGTATCCATTGCTGCAATTCATCAACGTCTTCTTCACTTGGTTTCTTGATCAACCCATCAACAAAACCATATTTTTTTTTTACTGTCAGGGCCATAGTCATGGAGTGACTCCATGTGTTATAATTATCCTCGGTCAGGAGTTGTGATACAATTACCAACCCAGGCTGATTTGAATGATGAAGATACAGTGGGTGATTGGGACTGTCAAATTTTGATGCCATGCTGAACTGAGTTGGCTTCCTTGAGTTTTCATTGTCGTCTCCCATGGTGACGGCTAGGGTTTCTTTAGGTTACCAAGATCGTTTGCCCTAGTACCATATAGGAAGAATATTTGGTGAAAAATAAAATCTCCATATCAACTCAATGCTAGTATTACATCTTTATATAGGATAGGGATCCTAGACTATCTCCTATAATTATGTTTGCTATACATACATAAAAGGAAGGAAACTAATGTCAATCAATTTACAATATTCCTCAGCTTATTTCTTGGAATTATCTTCAACAATCTGGTATAAAATAAACTAGGTTCTGCTATTTCTTCGCGGAGATTTGTTAGAACAGAGAGCTCGTGGTACCTATTGTCCACCCTTCCTTATCTACTTTATTTATAGATTTGGTGCAACTTATTGAATATATTATTCTAGCAGACTATCGTAATTTGCGTTTGCAACTGAACCGAAAAAAATGTTACAGCTGATAAACAATTTTAATAAATAAAGTGTAGTCATGTTTCCTCATGGAAATATCAATTAATGCATGGTAATAGTGAAAGTGCATGGAAAGTCTTTAGATGATCAAATGTGCCAAGAATCCTTTTTTTGGCCGAAGACTAATACTTTTTTGCACGTTAAAAGCTTAAAGGAGGTTCAAATGTTCGGATGTTGAAATTTCTTTTTCAAAAGTACTCAATTGATCATAAGTCAAGGTAAACGAAAGGAAGCTGGTCGAGCGTTGGTTTTTCTTTGTTGGGTACACGATCGATGCAGTCATTTTTTGTCATTTTTTCAAAAGAAGCATTTACTAGAACTAAAACAACAGATCAAGAACGTCACAAGAATTTGAAAATTGGTACACCAATCACAAAGTAAAGGGATTAGGTGGACGAAATTAATAATAATCAATCGTACTTATAGGGATGGATTTTGTTTTATCTTTTTTTTCTTTGATTTGAAAAGAAATATATAATTATATATTAATATCAATGAATCGTAGCTTTACTGATCGTATTTTTTACAATACCTTACAGTTAACAGCTTATTATAATAAAAGTACTTGGCTTGTACAAAAGAAGACGTTTATGATTGTTAATAAGCTTTGGTTTAAGTGAGATAATCATATGAATTAAGTACTAATCTTCAATCTTTATTTAATCACTTGATAATTTTAATAGTAATCGTATGTTGAGATCAATCCATTAGTTTATCGAAGCTTTCATTGAAATTAAATGTGTGGATTTTGAATAAGAGGTCAGGTACTACCGATTAAAACTATGCGTTTTATAATTCAAACTTCAGGTATTATTTACAGGATCCAGAGAAGAATCGAAGGGAGGAAGACAAAGTGGATGGAATGATCAGACAACCAATGGGAAATTAACAATTTATTTAACTTAATTAATAAATTAATGGAGTCGTAATTACAGTCGATAATAATTGAAGGAAAAACCCAAAAAGTATAAGCAAGTGACTCGGTCCCACAGGTAAGCAGTCAACATAGTTCCCGGACAGATCTAAAACGTGGGGAGTAATGTCATGGTAGGTGGGGTCAGGGGAGACTAGGCCACTGTTTCACCCGGTCATCAGTCACAGCAAGAAAGAGAGAGGGGCGGGCCGTCAAAATCATTGACTTGGTTCGGGCCCAGTTGGGCCCACTTTTGGCGTTTTTTTCTTATTTCCTCACGTGGAACGCGCCGCACGGTTCGGGGCGGTGCGGTTCATTTCCTTTTTCTCTTTCTTTAGTTGTGTCTTCACTTTCTCTTTTGATTTAGGAACGAGTCAAAGTCTTTCTTGACGATTAGAACACCCATTTGCAATTTCTTTCTACACACGTCCACATATAACAATCTTTTAGGATGTTTGTTACAATATTACATGATGTTATTAATTAACGTGTTCAGATAAATAATTCTTTGATCATATTGAACAATTTGTCTATAAGAAACACATTTGTCCGACTAATAATGTATATCTATAAAGAGAACCGACTGAAAAATGATAGACTTTATTTATGTTTTTATTATCATCCAACCACATAAATCAGTAACTTGTGAATTAATAACGATTTACGAGTTTGAATGTGTTCAAAAAAGTTTAACAGTACGTGACAATCTTCACCGTCTAACACTGTGAGTTATGACTCTTCGTTTATTTGGGACGGGTCTAAAATTTAAAACGGGGTGGCCTAGCGTTGACAGATGGCAGACTGACGCACCATCTGACGCAAGTGATGAAAGCTAAAGTAATGAAAATAAATGAATAATCCCATGAATTTCTCACAAATCCAATCTAGTGTTTTTAAGTTTGGTCCACGTCCATGCCCTTTTAATAGGCGATCACGTTGCACCGGTAAAAGACTTCAAAGACTTCACCACCCCCACATACCCCTCATCTCTCTCTCTCTCTCTCCTCTCTATCTCTCTCTTAAAACCCTCCTCCTTCATCTTCTTAATCTCCCCTTCATCTCTCTCTTAATTATCTCTCCCTCCCTCTCTCTCTCTCTCTCTCTCTCTCTCTCTCTTAAAACCCTCCTCCTCCATCTTCTTAATCTCCCCTTCGTCTCTCTCTTAATTACCACTTGTTCTTATCGTCAAAAGATTAATTAAATTTTATGGACAAAGGATGGGGGCTCACGCTTGATTCTGACTCCTTCGGCTACCTCCTCAACAAGCCGCCCACCGCCGTAGTTAAGCTCGACCACCACAACAACAAGAGAAGCAGTTTTTTTAGTGGGGAAAGGATGTTCCCGGGAATGGAATTCCCCGTCAAACTTGGCCGCCGGGAAGAGCAGGATGCGTCACAGCCGTCCAATGACAACAACCGGATGGTTGTGGATGAGGTGGACTTCTTTTCCGATCGTAAGAACAAGCTCAATACCAATAGTACCGATGATCATCATCAGGATTCGAAATCCAATGGTGCAGTCAGTGTCAAGAAGGAGAATTGGACTGGTTTGGATGTTAATGTAAGCATTACCCCTTTTATTTATTATTTATCTTGATTTTTTGGCGATTTATTTTTAGTGGTACTTATCTTTCTGTTTTGGATGTAAAAAATATGTAGACTGGATTGCAGCTTGTTACTGCGAACACCCGAAGTGATCAGTCGATGGTTGACGATGGGATTTCTTCTGATCATGGGGTTAACAAAACAGCAAAGAATCATGAGGTAAGACTTTTGAATTATCATCTAAAAAAATATAACATATACGTAATTGACTTAAAATATTACTATTTTTTTCTCTGAGGAAAATTAATTATCTGAATTTCCTATTTTTAGATTAAAGTTGAAATTTCTATTTTTAGACTAATGTTTTATTCTTTGGTGGGGGTTGATTATGATGATCAGCTGGCACAGTTGCAAGTGGAGGTGCAACGTATGAATGCTGAAAACCAGAGGCTGAAAGAAATGCTTGGTCAAGTGACCAACAACTACAGTGCATTGCAGATGCATCTTGCTGCAGTTGTTCAACAACAAAATCACACTACTGCTGCTCCAGCTGATCAGAGATCACAATTAGACCGTGATCAGGTAATTCATTCATTTCCGTAATCATCGCAATTATCTTTTTGAGATGACGATATTTTAAACTACCCTAATTTACAGAAAGACAAATTGCCTAGGCAACTAATCTAACTCACGACTCCAGAATTTTGAAATATATTGACTCTTTTTTGGTATAATTATTTATCAGAATACTGAAGCAAAGTCTGATCAAGAAAAGAAGCAAGGGTTGGTGCCAAGACAATTTCTGAATTTGGGTCCGAGAGCCACAGCCGAGACGAATGATGACCAAGTTTCCAATTGTTCATCGGAAGCAAGAACCCGATCAGCTTCACCACCTCAAAACATCGATGAAGTTGTGAAAAACGATCAGATTGGTCCGTTGGATCCGCCAAACTCTAATAATTTCCGTGACGGGAAAAGAGTTGGCGGGGATGAGAGTCCTGAATCTGAATCACAAGGATGGGTGCCCAACAAGGTCCCCAAGCTCAACAATTCTGCGGCTCCTAAGCCAATTGATCAATCAACCGAGGCAACCATGAGGAAAGCCCGCGTCTCCGTCCGAGCCAGATCAGAAGCCCCTATGGTAAATTAATCTAATTGAATTCAATTTAATTAGTAACACTTCAAAATAGTCCTCTTGCGATCATGCTGATTTAAATAAATAATGAATGAAGTAGTTTCATGAAACAATAAATTTTGATTAATTACAGATTACTGATGGATGTCAATGGAGAAAGTATGGACAGAAGATGGCAAAGGGAAACCCATGTCCTCGTGCATATTATAGGTGCACAATGGCTGTAGGCTGTCCTGTTCGCAAACAAGTACGTATACATGTGCAGAAATACGTTCATTCCATATCGTTTTTAGTAGTGTTAAAAACATGTCGATAAAATCACTTATGAAAGTACTAATATGTTTGTGTTACTATTTTGATAGGTACAACGTTGTGCTGAGGACAGAACCATACTGATCACAACATATGAAGGCAACCACAACCACCCACTGCCACCCGCTGCAATGGCCATGGCATCCACCACCACAGCAGCCGCCAGCATGTTGCTTTCGGGGTCCATGGCAAGCGCGGACGGGATGAATATGAACCCTAATAATTTGCTAGCCAGAGCAATTCTTCCTTGCTCATCGAGTGTTGCCACAATTTCAGCCTCAGCTCCATTCCCAACTGTCACATTGGACCTCACCACATCTCCATTACAATTCCAAAGACCAAACACCCCATTTCAAGTCCCTAATTTCCCAGGGCAACCCCAGAGTTTTGGGGCAGCTTCACAACAACTGCCTCAAGGTTTTGGGCAGGCCCTCTACAACCAGTCTAAGTTTTCAGGACTTCAATTGTCCCAGGATTTAATGGGGTCTACTAGTTCTCAACAACAACAACAAATGCAGCAAACTCAGTCTTCCTCGTTTGCTGACACAGTGAGTGCCATCGCGGCTGATCCGAGCTTTACTGCTGCTCTCGCGGCCGCTATCACCTCCATCATTGGTGGAGGAGCGCATCCGAGCAACAACAACAGCGCCTCTACCACGTCCAACACCAGCAGCGGAGCCAACAACAACAAGAACATTAGCAGCTTCCCGGGAAATTAACTAGAAATGTGGGCGTCTATTTTTTTTTGTTAATTTTGTCCTTTGGGTTTAGAAAATGTTGGTAACATGTCGATACCTTTTGTTGTTTTTTGGGGAGGGTTAGAATTGGTAGATGGAACCCAACTTCATTCTTTCTTTCTTTTTCTTCCAGGTTTTATTTTAAATAATTTGATTCAAATTTCTCAGTAAATACACAGAACAAGGAAAAAGATTTAGCTTAGATTATGTATTTACTATTCCAATCAATGAGAAGTACATGCACTGCTACATGTTTCATCTTCTATATATTATTTAGTTAATTTACTCCTAATCTAATCCATGATGATTATGTTCAATTAAGACACCATTGACCATGGCAAAGACAGAAGAAATTGTTGTTTACAACAAAGTTCTAAACGACACTAAGCGCTAGTTAGGTGGTGAGCTAAGGCCTAGCGCCTAGGCGGGGTCTAGGCGGATTTAAGTAAATTTATTATATTTTGTATAAATAAGTGTTTGTTTATACTTAATATATATATAATTTCATCATAAATTACAAAATAGATAGACATATATATCATGAAGTATTGAAACATAATGAAAACATAAGGAACAAATATATAATGTGTGTTCATTTAACTATTCAGCAAATATCTTACAATTTATTGAAAAAAATAAAATACAAAATGAAAGTTATCTATTTTATGTCTAAGTGAGTTGCAACCTAAGCGGGTGCTTAGGTGGGTCTGTGAGGGTTAGACGGGTGCCTCATCAGGTTTAGACATCATTTTTTAATTTTCAAACGTTTAGGTATTAATCGAAATGATAATCAGTCATTTAACGTTTAGGTGGACTAGACGCCTTAGGCGGGGAGAAACCCTAAGAAAAAAACTCGAAGAAGATGAGAGAGAGAGAGAGAGAGAGAGAGAGAGAGAGAGAGAGAGAGAGAGAGGAAGAACGTGGAAAATTCTTGTACGTGTGAGGGCGTGGTTGCAGTCAACGAAATCCGCCATCTTTATTTGACACGTAAAATAAAAAACCATGGACCTTGAAGAGACTTCCAGGCAACTACGTGTGTGTTTGAATAATTTAGCGAAAAAATGAGGTCAAATTCATACAAAAGCATAAGGAAAAAAGAAGAAGACAACTTTGAAGTGTTGAGAAGGTTTCGTGGATTGTGGGCTGCTAATTTCCAATTGGGTACGTTGTTGACTTTTTGTACACTTTGTTTGACATCACGTCACTGCCATTGAATTTTGAATCCAAATACCAATCAATCATGTGAATTTCTAATTTGGTTATTTATAAAATGACGTGGAGCATTGTGGGCGGCAACCGTACCTCATCCACCGTACGAAGGATTTTCTACTCTACATGGACTCTCTGGATCCACGGCCTTCGTCTTCATTGCCATGTTCATGGTGGTGGATAGGTGTGTGCATGGCTTTTATGATCCTCACGTGGATGCACGTAGGCCAAAAACACCTTGACTCATATTATTGAAAGATAGTTCGATGTTATTATCACACTTATAGGTTGATCTGGTAAATTTTCTTATGATTCGTTAATTTAACATGAAATGATACGAAAATAATAAATTTTGAGTTAATTTGTTAATAAATCAAATTGTTACCGAATTAACTGTTAATAACTTATTAATGTTATCTGATCATCTATTAAGAATCCCATAAAATATCGTTTTTCAAATCTAAAATTTAAACATGATCATCTCTTAAATAAATATTTAACTCGACATAAAACAATACGAACTATTAATGAATTTAGTCACCATAGATCACCATATAAGAACTCATTAAAGAAACGAATTTGCCACAACAACAACATAACATGTTTGTCAAGCCTACTTATATGTGGTGGTTGTAATTCTTTGAGAGTTATCATATCGAAAAGGAGAGTTATCATATCGAAAAAGGACATCTGAGAAATATTGATTTTTATTTTATGGGTATTGACATGCGAACGTGCAGTTTTGATCTGTACGACTGATTGATTGATTGATTAGGGTTTTGAAATTAACCACGTACAGCACCCATTTCTGGAATTCATCGAAGATAATCTTAGTAAAAAAAAGGTTAATAATTTGAAGAAAATAGCATTTTTGAATATTTTACATATTCACCTCTATTTCCATCGAAAGGTACGTGCTGACTCATACTTTGGGTCTTTGAACCTTTTGGTTTCACACTTAATATTTTTACTAACCTTTATATACGTAGTCACGTGTGTGTAAAAGACATTTTTTGAATTACGTAAATGAATAATTTTAGATCATACTACAATAAACCTCTCATAAACCAATTAAAGGAGTTGAATTCACATAATAAAATCGGTTTCTATATAATTTACATTAAGAATAGAGAAAATAATATTTAATAAACAATTAATTGAAACACATTATTGTTAGATCATTGTGAGGATAAGTCCACCCATTCCCCTTAGTGTAGATTATATCGTTTGTTAAAAAAAAAACACAATAATTTGATAATTAATTTAATCACATTATTATTCGCGTTCGAAAAACCTTTTTTTATAAAGAAAATAATATTTAATAAACAACTGATTGAATCACGTTATTGCTAGTCCATTGTAATGCTCAGCCCACCTTCCCCTTAGTGTAGATAATATTGTTTGTTAAAAAAAAAAAACAATCATTTGACAACTTATTTAATCACATTATTATCCGCGTGCAAAAGACCTTTTTTATAACTATCATTACACGCTTCTTAAGATATTTTGAACACAATATTCATGATTTTCCTTAATTTTTATTATATTTTTCTTTCCCCTTCACGTGGGCACCATCAACTTTCACCCATCCTTCCCTTTTTTTATTATTTTCTCTCTTCCCACTTATATTTATATTATATTTTATGATGATCAAATTACCAAATTACCCTTGCATTATTTGATATATTATATTGGACTACTTTTGGATTTTTTTGGTTGATATTTTTTTGTTGAAGCCGTGACTCTAAAGTGGGCCTCTGGCTTTATATATTATAGATTATTTTTCCACACATTTTAAATAATGATGGAAGTAAAACATTTTGCAAATTAATTAGTTACTTTAGGCAGCCTTGTAGGAATAAAGAATGAACTGCAAATTTTAACATCCACTATATAAAATAAAAAGAAATCCTATGCACAGAAAGTTGCCTATTCGAAGAATTTTGTTTCCTCTACTGCGAAGGTTAGAGACCAAATTCCCTGTTCTAGCTCTACTTCCATACTCGATTGAAGCAAAGGTTAGAAAATGTTGCATGTACATTGTTATTTGTTAATTGTATTTGGAAGAAAATTAATAAGCTCTAGAGTTAGTTTGTAAGTGCTTTTAAAAGGACATGAAAACGTTTTCAATGAAAATATTTTTAGAATCAATCTTTAATTAAAATGCAAGTAAATCTTGCAAAAGTACTTAAAATACTTCATGAAATAAGCACATAACTGATGCTTTTACATAAAACAATTCAAGTTTTCTTTTGGAAATGAATAATTGTAACCTATTGTGAACCATGTCCATTGAATTGTGTGGATTGGTTCCCATTCTATTTCCGAATGATGTGTAGGGCCTAAGCTTGTTGAGTCCAACCAAGTAATGGGCTTCAAGAAAAATAGGGTTCATTGGATCCGAAAAAGGACATACGACGGTTCTTCATTAAACTTGACCTCCAAGTAATCTTCCTTTAATTTCCAACTTTCCGCTTTAAGCTTTGCATATTGTGAGAGTGATAGGCACAATGTTTGCTTGCCTTAGAGAGGACTATTCTCTTTCCTGCACTCAGCAATAACCTATGCCCTAATGGCTAGGCTGTCTTTGCATCATTTATTTTGCCTTTAAGAGGACTATTCTCTTTGCTTGCAGGAATCATCCTAATTAATTCGTGTATTTTGAGTACACACATCTCGAAATTTAAATTCATTTAACAGTAGTAGATAGAATAGTGACAGCATCACCATCACGAGCACTTGAGGGTGTGAGCAAAAATATTCCCTAATTAATAATCTGATTCCTCTGATCCCCTCCCAACCACCATAACTATATTCATAATGGATATCATTGTACTGGGTGCATTGATATCGACATATTATCAATTTTATGTTGTAATAATAAACAATAGCCGAAACTCATTGGGATGTATTAGAAATATGTCGTTTCTTATTATCAAACTAGTGTTCTATCCATGATATCATACTTTGGTACTTTTTATTAGTTACAATGATATCCATGTATTATCAGTTGTATATCCACAACTCGTTTCCATATCCAAACAAAACGTGCATAACTGCATTTGATTGTAAAATTTCAGTTCATTTAGTGTGAGGAAAACGTGAACATCGTCACACAAAATTCATGTGCAAACTACACTCCAAGCTCATGGTGGGCCCCAAATACGAAAGATTTTAATGTTCAGAACACTGGACAATACGTCATATATTATTATAAAATAGGATGAAAATTTCTATCTTAATTATTTATTTCTTTGTACAATAACATATAACGTAAGCATCTGTGCTCTAAGAACACTAAAAATCTTTTCCTAAATACAGAGGCGTCGCATGGTAAGGCAACCAGGAGGTTTATGTTACACGTGAGCGTTCAGTTGCAACCTCCAATTCTACATTCCCGCGTCGTTCAACTTGCACTATCTAAATTCTAAACCCGTCGTCATCTACCCACGTCATCCACGCCGTCTGATCTTTCTCTTAACTCCATAATCACCGTCCATTTTTGTAAAACTCCCTCCTCGAACGAGACCATCGTGCCTCCACACAGTATCGACCGTTTAAATCCCAAAGATCGGACGGCTCACATCAAAAGAATCAGTAGGGGCCTACCTTTTTAGATACCATACGGAATGGGAAGGGATCCTTTCAGGATCCCTTTCACTTGAACCTCCTGATCAATAAATTCGGATCATTAAAATTTGATCAAACGACTCAAATTATTCTAATTTTTAATAGAGTTATTGTTTTTAATCTTTTGATCAAATTTTAAGAATTCGAATTTGTTCGTCAGGAGGATCAGGTGAAGAGAACCTTTTCCATACGGAATATAGGTAAGGGCTGAGCTGGGCCCCACAGTAAACGCAAAGAGTGACCGGGCAGAAGAAGGTCCTCTGTTTTTCTCTGTTTTTAAAGCCACTCTGTTCCTTCGAGTTTCTTCACACCAACTTTCCACTGGCTCTCTCTTCCTCCTGCAAACAATTTAATCGCTGAGTTTTATCTAATTTTAATTTCTTAATTGTATATGTTTGAAAGTAAGATTTAATTTGGTTCTGTGATTCTGCGTTTTGGAGCTATAGCCAACATGGGAACCAGCTTCAAAGCACTTCTGTTCCTTACAAGCCTGTTGTTTTCTCTTGTATTCTCTGCACCCAATGATGGGTTGTCCAGGATTGCACTGAAAAAGGTGAAACTGGATTCTAACGACCGGGTTGCTGCGCAGCTCGAATCCAAGAACGGATTGAGGAAGTATCGTCTCCCTTCGAAACTCGGAGAACCTGAGTCTGGGGATGTCGACATTGTTTCGTTAAAGAACTACTTGGATGCTCAGTACTATGGCGAGATTGCCATTGGCACTCCCCCTCAACCCTTCACTGTCATTTTCGACACTGGAAGCTCGAACTTGTGGGTTCCATCGTCCAAGTGTTATTTCTCGGTGAGCTTGAACATTTACACTTTGCTGTAATTTGAAAAATTGAAACTTTTTGGATGTTTAGAAAGCTTGGCCTGAGACAACATGATCATGGTTTTGTTGCATTTGGATGCAGCTTGCATGCTTCTTCCATGCCAAGTACGACTCGGGCCAATCGAGAACATACAAGAACAACGGTTTGTTTTCTACGCTTTGCAGTAATTGTTTCTGAATCGTGTGAATGCTGCAATTTGGTTGTGTTGGCTGTATGGTGTAATATTTGTCTACTGCTTGCAGGGACTTCTGCTTCCATCCAGTATGGTACCGGAGCTATTTCAGGCTTCTTTAGCAATGACAATGTTAAAGTCGGGGACATCGTTGTTAAAAACCAGGTAATCATATTTCCGAGCTCCCCTCCTTTTCCGTTTCCCAGTCTAGTGTTTTGGTTTAACCGTACTTGTTATTGGTGGTACATCTACATCATCAGGATTTCATCGAAGCAACCAGTGAACCCGGTCTCACATTCTTGGCCGCCAAGTTTGATGGCTTATTGGGACTTGGGTTTCAAGAGATTTCGGTTGGAGGTTCTGTCCCAGTGTGGTATAATACGCATTTGCATCGTTGATCTCCACCGATCATTTTTTTTTTTTTTTTTTTTTTTTTTGCAGAAATCATTAAATGAATAATTTCAGCATTCATTGGTTGATATGGAACACATGAATATCTTTCAGGTACAACATGGTTGAGCGAGGTCTTATCAAGGAACCGGTGTTTTCCTTTTGGCTCAATCGCAACGCACAAGATGAAGCAGGTGGTGAAATTGTGTTTGGCGGAGTTGATCCGAAACACTTTAAGGGCAAGCACACATATGTTCCGGTAACGAGGAAAGGCTATTGGCAGGTTGGTAGTGAAACAATTACGTCCAGTGTGAGAGTATCTGATGCCTTCTTTTCATTTTTGCCTTTCTAATATTTTACCTTTGTGTTTTTCCTCTTTTCTTACTTGCATCTCTCCTTGGCAGTTCAACATGGGTGATGTTCTTATTGGTGGTAAACCAACTGGTATGTACCCTCTTGATGCCTAAAGCATTGTAGTTCAATAAAATGACATAGAAATAGAGTAAAGCGCCCACCCCTGCGTATGTATTTTTCATAGGATGGGGACAATGATACGAATATCGTATATATTGCCCCCGTTGTTCTGACTTAACTACTCTGCTGTTCAGGATATTGTGCTGGTGGCTGTTTCGCAATTGCAGACTCTGGAACTTCCCTTTTGACAGGTCCATCGGTATGTAATCCAAATTTTAGTTGTTACTTTGTTTTTGTATTGATTAATCCTTTGATGGGTGCATGTTTTGTGTATATAATTTTATGTAGCTTGTTGGATTAGCTAGGTCAGGTTCATTTTTTAACTTCGCATGATGCATGTTCTGATTGAAGCAGAAAGGGAGAAATATGAACATGTTACTGACCTTTTTTCGTGTATATAGATTGAATGAAGTACTTGTGCTCGTTATGTTCTTCCAGCTTCTGTTTGCGTTGCGTCTGTTTGTTTTTGCATAGTTTTGCACAGCTGCATTAGTAATGACAATCTCCCTATCGATAAATTTCTCTATACGCATATATAAAGACTGCAATTACCAAGATAAATCAAGCCATTGGAGCCAGTGATGTTGTTAGCCAGGAATGCAAGGCGGTTGTTAACCAGTATGGACGAACCATTCTTGATTTACTCGTAGCTGAGGTACATTCAAGATATATGTTATTCCAGTTTGCACTTTTTTTTCTTGTGCACACGAGTGGAGACGATTGTAATTCATTTGGTTTGCGTACTTTCTCCAACAGGTCCACCCAAAGAAGGTTTGTTCTCAAATTGGAGTGTGCACCTTGACGGAACTCGTAGTGTAAGGTCAGCTCAAAAGATGTCCTTTTATTGCTCTTATTGTTCTTGGGCTTGCCTTCATTAGGTAATAGTTTATTGTTTTACCGTTGTGCTTGTTCAGCATGGGCATTGAGAGCGTGGTGGATGAGAACAACGGCAAATCTTCCGGCATTCTTCATGATGCTTCATGCTCTGCGTGTGAAATGGCAGTTGTCTGGATGCAAAACGAGCTTAAGCAGAATATGACGCAAGGTCGCATTTTGAACTACGTCAATGAGGTACAGAAAATTCACAAAACTTGATTATATTTGTAACCCGTATCACTTCTCTTTCTGACTCCACGATGTTATAATTCCGCAGCTTTGTGAAAAAATGCCAGACGCATCGGGACAATCTACAGTCGACTGTGGAAAGCTTTCTTCCATGCCTCCCGTTTCCTTCACCATTGGCGGTAAAGTTTTTAAGCTCACTTCAAATGAGGTACGATGACATCCCGATTTATCCTTTAGCTCTATGCTTGCATATCTTTTAAGACCATCTATGCAATGCTACCTTGTTCCCCCTTGTTTAAGATCAGCGCATGAGGAATCTAATGTTCTCTTTTAGTACACTAGAAAAATTAGTGTTTGGGTTCTATTTACCTGTGGTTTAAGGCGAATTTTCGTGAGAATAAATTTGCATGACTAAAGTGTTGTAGTGCAAGCTACCTTTGCGCTTCTGCTAATTTCTCCGTTGGTTTGAGCAGTACATACTTAAGGTCGGCGAGGGTGCTCAAGCTCAGTGCATAAGTGGATTCACTAGCATGGATATCCCTCGTCCCCGCGGACCTCTCTGGTATTATCACATTAGTCAACACTTGAACTCGTTTGTCGTGCTTTATATACGATAAAACCTGCTTTGATTCTCACTTTGCGGCTGTGCAATGCAGGATCTTGGGAGATATATTCATGGGTCGTTACCACACCGTGTTCGATTATGGCAATATGAGAGTCGGATTTGCAGAGGCTGCATAAAGAACGGCCTTGGGACCGACCCTTCTTCTTGAAATTATTTGATGCATATGCTCATCTTTGTTTACTTTTCATATATGTACCTCTGTATGTAAAACGATCCAGTGGTTAAAACTTGCAATCAGTTGTGGTGTCTGTTGGCGTCGGCGTAAACCTAGTGTTTGTAAATACAACTGTTTGTAATCTGGTATCATATGTTATAAGTTTGAGAGCATGTAGTAAATTGTGCAATGTTTTCTAGTAATATCTCAAAATTAAGGGCTTCAGCTGTTACGCAGAAGTATTAATCTCCATATTTTCTTCAACAATACGAAATTTGCCCATGATAAAACTTTACATTGCTGAGGCATATAGGTTGGTTTTGGTCGATAGCTGAGTGAAGGCACCGATTTGTTTGAAAAATAAAAGAGAGTGGAGGACCCAATTTGGAGAAACTTGTGTGCGGCCTATGAGGCAGCAATCTACTCTTGGTGGGACCTCAGCATGTAGGTCTCACCGAATGCTGCCCCGTAGCTGAACTCAAGACATTCTCCCCCACATATTGTACTTGGGATGAAGATTAGGTTGTGATGGGATAGAACAAACTTAGACGTTACGCAAAAGCCTGTGTTGACGTGAATTGGTGTATGATCCTTGATATAGTTCCATTCCATTGGCTTTGAGGCCAAGTTATTCGCATGATGAAATTCATTCATCATTTCATAGCTCATTGAGTGATATATATATACATATATATATATATTGGTCCAATGAGCTTGTGTAGCATCACTTTAACCCTCTTATGTTTTTGGTATAATGTTTTATAATGTTGACAGGAAATTGAGGTTAAACTGTAAAGTAACAGAGAATGGAGCGTCCGACTTTGATCAACTGACGTGTTATTTTAAAGTGTTTGTACTTAATAGGTGTTTGTAATCTAGAAAAATCGAACCTAATCATATCTAAAAGGGTAATATTAAGGAGACAAAATTTGGAGATAAAATTTGTAAACTAAATGATGTATCAACAATAGGAATAAACACATTTATCAACGCGTAATAAGCCACTTAAGTAATAAACCAATCATCAACTTCCATGTCCTTTAGTTTTTAAAATTTTATTTACAATTTTAATCTTCCTAGCATTACCCCATCTAAAAAAAAGCCTAAACTAAAGAAGTAATAATATCTTTTACCGTAGGTGTGCCGCACAAGTTCGGGAAACGTTTTGTCACGCATGATTCACGAAGCACAACGGTGGGGCTAAAAGCTTTGCCAAAAGCTGACAAATAAAAGAGGAGGAGGAGCAGGGCAAAGAAGAGAAAAGAAAGAAAGGAGGAGTAGGTGGCATGCATGCATGTGAATAATAATATGATAGGGTTGCTTGGAAGCGATATAAATCATAAGGTACGATACCGAACAAACACACTCATCAATCATGATTCATATTCGTGCATACACATTGACACCACATATTTTGCGTTCGCAAAGCAAAGAAAAGGCCAAAGGTTACGTTACAACGTTGTGAGCTGCAAACCAACTGCAGGTGCAAGTTTTCAACTCACGTATTAGGTGGATTCTAAGAACATTTCTAACCGAATGGTCCAGAGGGTCAGAGGGTCGAAAATAGCTCGAAAATCGTTTCAAACCAAGGGTTAGGCCAAAGGGCTCGTGGGCCCCACTAGACAAAAAAGGGCCAACCGGCTGGCTCAACTCAACCAGCCAGCCAGCCCCGGGTTGGCCAGAATTTTTATTATTCATGTTTGTTATATTCGACAGGAATGGTAGGCCTTTTTTTTTTTCAAATTTTTTTTTAATTTTTTTTTAACAATTCTATTTTTTTCCTATAACTTCCTAAGCCATTATACAACATTAAATTAAATTAAGTAACATGAAACAACATTAAATTTAAATAATAAATTATGTTTGACCTTATGGCCCTTTGATCCTCGGTTGGAGATGATTTTTTGTGACAGGACTAAAATGAGCCCTATGGCCTTTTGACCCTCCGTTGGAGATGGAGGCAAATATAGTCATGTACTGTTCATTAAAATATTAATATCTGGAAGGACCAGAGGGCTAAAACGAACCCTTTGACCCTCGTTTGATTGGAAATGGTCTAAGTTTCTACCGGACTGGCCTGACCAGACCAAACTGGTTGGTGAAATCGTTCGGTGTTTGGTTTGGTTTGTGCGGAGACGAAGAAACTGAGAGGATGCATGTAAAAATATGAGTTGGGGCTTTGGTTTGGCGGCTTTTACAACTAAATTATTGGTCGTCCCAACTGTCCACCTCCTTTCCTATGCTCCTTTGCACAATATGCACTCACTTTCCCACTGCAAACAAAAGCCTTTTAATTGCCTTTTACATCTCAAGTATACCCCTTTCTTTTATCTACATAATTCCATTTTCCTTGGTCTATTGTGTGTGTGTGTGTGTGTTTTTTTTTTTAACTTATGGGTTAAAGAAATAAATACCATTCATGTGTTATTTAACTATGAATTAGATAAGTAAAAGAATTGGGAAGCTTAAGAATATATAAAAGAAGCAAGAAATGAGAACTGGATCAACTACTTCCATTAGTTACGGACCTAATTCCTGATTTTGAAGTCAAGAATTAGAATATTTGTCACTAGCTTACTGCTCTAGCAACTGTTGTTTATAATATTTGTGCTCAACAAATTTTCCAATTCATTGAAGAATAAGTGTTACTAAACCAAATTATCATGTCATTATTTAGCGGTTTCTTTCATAACAACTGTCATTCATACTACATGAGCTCAAAATATTTCCACCAAATTATCATGGCCATACTTTGAGTATTAGAAATTCTCCAAGAAAAGTACTCATTTTTTATCATTTAATTTAAAAAGTTGTACCATTTATTTATGTATTCAACGCTTACCAAACCATATCCTAAACTTGCCAAACTTGTTGCTAAAATGGGCACAAATTATGCATCCAACTCGGGAGAAAAATGAGTTCACTATTTTTAGTGGGACTTGTACTAGAGACTATTCAAGTCAATCCATTTTCTACATTATTAGGCTTTAGGCCTCATACATCCCACCAAAACAAGGAGAGAAATTTTCATTATGTCCGGAACACGAATGGTACATCACGTGTCATTATATAAGTGAAGAGAAATTTTATTTTCTAGGTTTGATTTTTTAACACAAGTATCTCACCCCTTGACCACTTATATAATGAAACGTGATGTACCACTCAATGTTTCGGCCACACTCAAAACTCTCTCCCAAACAAGAATATCCCATACATTTTCTATTCGCACTCCAATGCGTAAGGACTACGTAAGCACGTGCCAAACGCAAGGAATTTACTTTAACCATGTTCCATTCGTCCCCAACGCCAAGCTTACCTAACCGCGGGCCAAAAACAGTTTGCACCCTCCTTTTGCCACGTGGAGGCCTCAGATGAATTAGAGAAGATGGCGGCCACCCTTTGGTCCGAAAGAGTGAGAAAGGTGTTTGAAAAGGCATTAGCTTCTCTCACCAGGCCTCAAGCTAAAGCCACCCCGCATACCAAACCACGCCCACAAGACTACTCCTCACATTTTTACTCACCGCACCCACCACCACCACCACCTTCTCCACTCATATATATTCCACCTCCCAAATCCCAATCCAACCAAAACAAACTTTAACACATACAAAACTTGTAACTCCTATCTTCTGTGTAGTTCTGCTCGTCTAATCATCCGCTATTGTCTTTAAATGGATTGGACCAGGGGCCGAACCATTGGCCTCGGCTCCTCCGCCACGGTCTCCATTGCCAAGTCATATGTCTCCGGCGAGGTTTTCGCAGTCAAGTCAGCCAAGCTCGCACAATCCCAATTCCTCCAAAAGGAGCAAACAATTTTGTCTACATTGAGCTCTCCCCATATTGTACAGTACAAAGGCCACAACATCTCAACCGAAAACGGCGACGTTTTGTACAATTTGTTTTTAGAATACGCGCCTGGTGGCACAATCTCCGACGCAATCCGACGGCAAGGCGGGTGCCTAGACGATGCCGCGATCAGGTGCTACGCGAGGCAGATTCTACTCGGACTGCAACACCTCCACTCCAATCAAATCGCACACTGCGACGTCAAGTGTCAGAACATTCTGGTCGCGGAAAATGGCGCCAACGTGAAGCTCGCCGACTTGGGTTGCGCTCGCCTCGTGAATTCCGATTGTGATTCGCAGATTGGTGGGACCCCTCTGTACATGGCGCCGGAGGTGGCGCGCGGGGAGGAACAGGGAGTAGCCGCCGACTTGTGGGCTCTGGGATGCACAATAATCGAGATGGCCACCGGGCGGGCGCCGTGGTCCGACGTTTGCGACCCGGTATCGGCGCTGTACCGAATCGGGTTTTCCGGCGATGCACCGGAGATACCAAGCTCTCTCTCGCAGCAAGGCAGGGACTTTGTCGCCAAGTGTTTGATTGGGGACCCACTGGAGAGGTGGTCGGCGGGTGAGCTTCTGGAGCATGGATTTGTGGTCGAGGCACCCAATGATTTACTAAGTCCCACCACCGTGTTGGATCGTGGTTTGTGGGAAGAGGAGGAATTTGAATCGGACGAGATTTGGGATCCGACCCGTGAGAGCAGTGGTTCGGATTATTCAGCTAAGGAGAGGATCCGAAAGTTGAGTGAAGGCATTGCGGCGTCGTCTCCAGAAATGCCCAATTGGGCTTCGGATGAAGAAAATTGGGTCACAGTTAGAAGTGACAACATTAATAAACAAGATGTAGCGCAAACACACACCATTTTTCTGCTTCTCGCGGGGCAGTCCAAACGCGTGCCGCTGTGCCTCTTATCGCCGCCAAATGAGGCAAATATCTCGTCACAGTATACCAAAAGTATTTACGACAGGCCAACAGATACGAATCCGGATACAAATACGGATCCTAGTAGTTGCTTGGGTTTGGGTTTGGAGACTTGTGATGCAGCTAGCTTTAGCATTAGGCATACTAAGAGAAAGGCTTGCATGGCCTCTAGATGTAACAATTATGTATTTTATTCAAATCTTAATTTTGTGAACAAAAAGTTATGGTTGTTTGTGCATGCTTCTTGTTTTACCTTTTCTCACCATTTTTTTAATACAGCAAACAAGTTTATTGCCTTTTGAGCTTGTCCATCTTGGTACATAACATTTCTTGTATTTAGACACAATCCGAAGACTGCGCTTGGGCACCCGCCTTGCCGTCTGATTATGCGTACAAGACGGGTGCACAAGCTGAAAGAAAAAGGGAAGACTTGATAACGTAGATTGGCTAATTAGAATGTGAAAAATACATACCATGAAATTAGCAACTAAAATGTGAAAAATAAAACTAGCTCTGAAAAAAAAAAAAAAAAAAAAAAAATCTCAATTGGTCTGCTATCCCTCCCTTATCAATCGTCGCTACCACCTTCTGAGTGCTTGGCAGCCTCCCACTTCAGTCTTCTTTCTAAGATCTTGTTCTCGTCAAGTAATCGAACATACTCTTGGAAAAAATAATCCGAATCTTTGTTCACAGCCACAATTTCGTCGTTTGCGGCACGAAGATCCTCCGTCTTTGTTGCAATTTCGTATTCGAGCTTTTTTAGTGCAGTGAATGATGCCTGCAAGCAACTCTGTAATGTTCTATTTTTCTCGTGTACCTCATCTTGATCATCAAGTAATCGTCCAAATAGATTCCTCATAAAATTAGCATCGTCTTCTGCACCATTAAGCTCAAATTGTAGTTGGTCGAGTTTTGTTTTCAATGATTCCATGTCGTCCTCTTTATCAGCAAGCATACGGTCGTACTCAGTGAAAGCCTCTTCGGATTGTTTCTCTTGCACGATCGCGCGGTCCTTTGCAGCGTAAATCTCTCTTGTCTTTGTCTCAAGCTCATGTTGTAGCCGTTTGAGCTTTGTGTCCGAAGATTGTAGCTCCTTTTGTAAACTTTGGTTTGCCTCAAATACAATACCTTGCGCATCAAGTAGCTCTCCGAATGCGTTGCTTAAATTCCTTAAATTGACTTCTGCATCATTCAGTTTTCCGGTTGTGGTCTCGAGTTCAGATTCTACTTGGCTGAGGCTAATGAGCTTTGTTTTCAAAATCTTGTTTTCTTCAAGCAATTGATCATGTTTGAGTTTGGCGTTTGACGACGACTGTAACTGCTGCTTTAAACTCTCATTCTCCCAACGGAGAAGGCTCTGCTCCTTAATTACATGTCCGAGCAACTTGTTTAGAACAAGAACATGAGCTTGTGCAACATTAGTGTCGTTTTCCTTGATGTCGCGCTCCAACTCTGCGTTGTTGACCCTTGTTCTCAACGATCGCAATTGGTCATCTTTCTCCCCAAGCAACCGATCAAACTCGACACACATATCTTCCGATTCCAACAACTTGTGTAGACGTTTGTTTTCTGCAACCCTCAATGCGTTTCTTAGATCAGAAACATCTATTGTTTTGGTCTCGAGCTCGGATTGAACTTCGTCGAGCTTTGTGCTCAACGATTGCAATTGGTTTTCTTTCTCCTCGAGCAAGCGTTTATTGTTTTCTTCAAATCTGTTGCGCAGTTCCCCCATCAATTTCGTTTGTCTATGAAAGTTTTTGACATCCTCGCATACTCGGTGCAAGACGAAATCAAGGACTAGGAACAACCCTGTAGATGAGCAACTCAAACGTGTTAATATATAGCAAAAACAAATTAGATAGATCCAGCCTTGAAATTTAAATTATGTACTCAACTTTTAAAGACTTCCATATATTGTGCAGATCAGGTACGGAGCTTAAATAGACTTCTAATGGGGCACCTTTTATGTCATGGTATATACTTTATACGTATGAAAAACAAAACGAAGATTACCGATGAGAATGAAGTCGAGGAGCAGGCAGTAGTAACTGACAATGCGCTCGAAAGGTGTTTGGATCATCGCAACGTAGTGCACGAAGAAGAGAAACTGGAGCATGCCCTTTGCAAATTTCAAGCCGAACATGCTAGTGAGAGTTAAAAGCTCCATGACTGATATCCCCAGAAAGCTTCAACAAAGATGAGAGGGTTAAGCTCGTTAGATGGGTCTGGTGGTTTATTAACTTTCCTTGTACAAATAGTGCAGACATGTAGAGCGTATATATATAATCATAAAGGGCCTGTATATTTATACGTGTGTGTGTGTGTGTGTGTGTGTGTATGGTTATGATCCTTAGGCTTTTGGGTAAGTTGGTTTGGAATCCCATGGAAGTAAGGGATTTTTTCTTTTTTTTTGGGAAACCTCGATGATACGAGGGTAATTTTATTGATAACAAAAAAATAAATTACACCTAAGGGATTTTACTTCCTCTTTTCGATTTTTCATTCCGTTCTCATTTAAATTCCAAGCAGAATCCGGAATGTGTGTCAAGAACTAATCCAGCTCTTGACTGGTTTGATTTGTTTCCCTTTTTTCCTAGGAGCTAAAACACTGGTGTATTGGACTTTTCATTCCTTTTCTTTTCCCTAGCCGAAGCCCCTTTTTTTTTTTTTTTGTGCCCATCAACAGTACTAGTAGCCAAAACACAAAGGTAATGGTTAAATCAACCGTGGCAAAGGAAATCGCTACGAGTCCAAACATTTTCTTCTTCAATTCAAGTCACACAATAAACCCGTCTACTTCTGAGTGTAATCAATTATAAAACAAAATAGCTCGTCTGAAAATGCTTTTAATGAACTTTTTTTAGAATCAATCTTTAGTAAAATAAAAAGTAAATCTTAAAAAAATCACTCTATTGCTTCATGTAAGAAACACATAACTGTTATTTCTTGCGGGAAGCCCTTTAAGTGTTTTTGTAATAAAACTCAACACCTAATAATAGGTGGTTAAGTTTGAAACAATAACGGTGATAGATTTGGACAGGCCTACAAAGTTTATCAAGACAAAATGGAATAATTGATCCATTCTACTTCAACACTCAATTTTTAGTTACATCAACCATACAAAGTGGTAAGCCTCTCTCTCTCCCCATAATTAGATAAATGACAAATTAAATGTAATAAATAAACCCATCTCAAAACACTCACAAAAAAACTTCTATGGAATTTCATAACAAATTAAAAATCTCAAAAGTGGGCAAAATCCCTTATGAATCTTTCTTGCTACCTAAACGTGACACTCTCCAGTCCAATGACTTCAACTGATTCTTTAACTTTTGGTTTTCTTCAAGTAAGCGGTCATACTCGAGAAGAAACCCTTCCGATTGTTTTCTTAGAGCAAGGACGTTGGACTCTGCAGTATGAACATCCTTTGTCTTTGTCTCGATTTCTGATTCTAGCTGTTTGAGTCTAGTCCGCAACGTAGCCATCTCATTCTCCGAAACTTTCATCTGATCCAAAATGCTAGATTTTCCATCCTCAGATCCTCTGTTCTGTTTCTTAAGGGCTTCCATACTCTTTCTGCGTATACGAAGTTCTCTAATGTAGTGGTGTAGTCTGTCTATCATAAGAGCAAGAAATAGGGAGCATCCTGCAAATGGGAGACACAAATGAGTCGATGACTAACAAAGACTTTGTCACTATCAGAGAGCAACAGGAAGTCATGAAACATGAAACACCCTGCTGAAATAAACATCTGGTAAACAGAAATTGTACCAATATAATCATAACATGCGTTATTAAGGCTAACCCGACTAGGTGATTATCTTTTATTGTCAGCAAACACAAGCTACTACACATATTGTCAAAAGGGGAGAAGGAGCATGAGAAACTGCTTGAAAATTAATCGAATATGTAGGACATGATCAGACTGGTTGCTTCTCATTTCATCCTCATCAAAAGGATGGGAAGGAGATCAAAAAGGAGTGAACAAAAAATAATTCAAACTCCATGAAGATTAGCTACTGTACAAACAAAGCACATATTTCTTCACTGGTTTTATTTAATATATCTAACTACTGATGACCTAATGAAAACCGAAAAATGCACTTAAGAAAGACTAAGGAATCCAGGACTCTAGCAGCAAACAAATTCTATGCTGATACAACCTATACGAACAATAGTGCAGCTGATATCACCAAATTGCTGTCTACAATATCAATACTATTTCCTGATAGAAGGACCTATAATTTTCCTTAACAAATTAAATTAGTATTAAGCCTCCAACTTAATTAAATGAAAAAATATCCCAGTTTCTTGCTTCTAAGGGCTGTATGGTGGTAAGTAGGCAGTAGGCACATTTCGGAGATTAACCATAGTCGGCAACAAGGTGAACAAGACACAAAATTCACCAGTAGCTCTGAAAATTACATCTCGAATTACAAAATGTTCCTCAACAACCGTAACATAGAGCATTCAAATTAAGTGATATATTTCGACCAGATTATGTGGCAGTATTGGGGAATATGAAACTACTTGTGAGCAATGAGCATACACAATTTTTGACGGACTGTGTATATAACTAATCTGAAAACCACTGAACTCAGAATCAGGTCACTATAACACCATAATGCCTCGAATTTGAGTTCTCAAAAACAGGTTCTCAGAAACAACAAATTAAGATCCAGAAAACCTAGTAAGTTACTTTCTCTTACAAGTTCGTGTCATCAATGAAACAGTGATTTGAGTATAGAAATGCAAAAAGTCACAATCTCTTATCACCCAATATCATTCCCAAATTAAAGAAACCACATTTCAATCACAACTCACAAAACAACAAAACATTAACAAGAACAAAAAAAACTTGCACATTCAAGAATTCCACACTAAAATCTAAGTATCAGAGACTATGTCACTAGAAGTCTAAAACCAAAAACCAAGAATTACCCAGATAGCAATTGAGTTCTAGAAATTAACCCACAACAAAAATTTTAAAAAAATCATAAAATTGAAAATTACCCATGAGAGTGGCGTCGAGAAGGTGCTTGATCATGAGGACCTGATCGGTGGGACTAAGAACAGCAGCTTTGTCGATCCGGCTCGCCCTGATCTTAACTATGCTGTAAACGTTGGTCATCACCACCACAAACACCGTCGCCGCCACCGTCTTCACCACGACGGGGCCGCGGCCGCGCTTGATCTGATCCAGCCCCAAAATCACCAGCTTCCTGAAGGGGGTCTTGAACAGAAACGCCAGTATCATAACCATTTCTGATAGAATCACTACGAACAGCAGCTGAATCATCTTTCTGGTGTTTTTGTTTAGGTGGGTAAGCAGAGTGTGTGAAAGTTGAAAGCTTCTGAAAGAATGCGTCGGTTTGGTTAGAAGAAGGACGAAAGAGGAGAAAATATTGTTGCGACAGAATTCAAAAAGGGCCAATTGGATTATTAGTCCCGTTCTGATGGGTTCACAGAAGATAGCTTATGTGCTAAGATAATTAAGATTTAAATACTTGTAGTAAAGTCGGTTGCTATTTACGTTTTTCATTAGAGAATTGTTATTAGTATTCTAAAAATTTCATTTGGTATTATAAATTTTTCATAATTAGAAAGAAAAATACATTTCTGAAGAGTGTAGAATGATATTTTTAGAGTGCTAATAATAATTTTATTTCATTAACTCTCTGTTAATTGTTAATACGTGAGCACAGGTTAAAACAAAATTTTCCAATAATTGTTAGCACGTGCAAATAATTAATGAGAAGTTGACAAAATTTTTAATTTTTGATCTAAATCTTAACAGACTTCACAACATGCGTTTAAATCATAATACGACAGGCTGACTAAAAAAACAATACATGTCTTGCATTTGTAATTCTTACTATATATAGGATGAAATAGTAAATTTATACTATATCATCTTCATTTGTTCCACAATTGGACGGTTGGAGTCATCATGGAAATCACGTTAGGTTAACCATCGAATCATAGATGCATCATGCCTTTTATTCTTGACTTTAATTTGCTTTTTTTTGGACAAAGTTGTTTTTACATTGCTAACTTGGAAAATTTTGGTAGTGTCCCTCTACACTCGCAACACTTTTCGACTTTAATTTAGTTACTTAGCTTCTAAACTTTAAAATTTAGTATGACATGATTCAAAATTATTATATTAATTAGGGAGGAGAAAAATTCATACCTTTTAATCTCTAATACAGTGCTGCTTAAATAGTCAAAAGTAACTCTCAATTTGATGAAAAGTTAGTTTATCTAACAAAAGTTAAGATTATAAAGACGTAAAACTAAATTGAAAGTCGAAAAGATAATTTTGAAGGAGATACAAAGTTTCAGGCTTTGATAAAATTCATGCTTATTGCTGATGGCTACATTTTTGAAGACAAACAAGGCAAAGCAACAATGGCGAAGGAAGGAGAACCGAACTCATAATCTCTGATGTCAAAATAAATGTTTTTAATTAACTAAGTTATAAACACTTCGATATTATATCTTAGTTTACACATTAGCTGGTTGGTGTGATAATCCAGGTTCATCATTAACGGCAGTTGGCGACCAAAATGGTTAACTGGCTTTTGGCCCTTGCTGATTGCCAGTAGTGTGTTTTTCAAGGAATCCATGGTGACAGATTAACAAATGAGTTGCCACTTGGGGAAAATAAATACGGCTGCTGTGGGGAGTGGGGAAGGTAACATGCCAACATGGCTACTGCAGCAAGCAGATGCCAAATTAATCATGAGCTGCAATTCCATTTGCATGCCTGTTCCTCTTTCCTCCACAAAGATATTGAACTCAAAACCGTAGTAATAGAATGGATTTGGGCCTAAAATTTTTCAAGTTTGATTTTGGGCTTTGAGACTATCTCCACCATTGTTTGATTTCATTATAGTGAAGAGCGTTAAGACGACTGATGTATAATTTTTGTTAGGTAGTGTTTTTCAAATACCTTTTTTTTACCTTTTATACACTCATGTTAATATTGTTTGTTGATTTCTTCAATTCAATCGACCCGACGGTCGAGAATGAGAGGGGTGTATGAGAAGTAAAAATGACCGTGTAGCTATCACTACCCTTTTTGTTTAGTTTAACTGTCTTAAAAGCACTAATTCAAAGTTGATGGTTGGATTCCTTCGTTAAATTATTTTAAAAAAAAAAGTCCAACCGTCAACTGTACATCATGTGGTTTACATAAGATGGTCTAAATGTTTGATTTTCCTAACATTTTCCTTTCTTCTGCAAACGCTCGTCATCTCTAATCACTCAAACCTTACCTACTTAACACACAAGTTCGTCAATTATCTTTCAAAATCCTTAATTATTTATGGTGTTTAATCTTTTATACATCTATATTTTATAATCGAAATATTTCAGTATCTTGTATTACAAGCATGACTTGGGGATGCGCACAATGTGTGATTAATTATTTATAGCGTTTAATCTTTTGAACATCCTAGCTAGTTACTCAGTATAGTTTGTAATCGAAATATTTCAATATCTTGTATTACAAGCATCTGACTTGGGGATGCACACAATGTGTGATTAGAACCATCCCAAAGTTAATTTTAGGCATGTTTATTTCAATAACAAAAACCAGTTCTCTAATCTTCCATGCTGAACACACCTAGATTTAATTTATAGTATGACATCCGCCAATCACGAAATTTGATGAGCTTTAATGTTTTCAGTTACACGACATTGTGCGATTAGCTTAGATACTATACTAGCATAGTGACATTCCCGTTGCATTCATGGCTATCCTCTTGGATTAGTAGCATGTCATTTCACACTTGTTAAGCAATAAATAATCGAAACTGATCACTCATTTATTCATTTAGAATATTTTCTAAAATATCCAGCATACATGAAAACGGGGATCCATGAATTATATCTAGCACATAGAGTTCATAATTGTTCAAGAGTTAACTAGAAAAACTCATAGGGACAACAATCATCTGAGGCCAATCTAAGAATTTCGTCGGTTTCACTTGGCCTTTGGTAGTGCCACAGATCTTGCCTGTAAATTTAGGAAAATTCCCCTGAAAAAAGAAAAGTACAAGCCAGTTTGTTAACGAATCAAGAAAGAATGAATTAAATGCATATTATACCAGCAAAATGGAGGTTAAGTTTATAGATCATACCAGCCAAAAGCAACCAAGCTGTGGAAGACGACGCGGAGGTGAAGTGGCACATACTGGTGATTTATCCACCCCAGAACAGGCCAGAACTGCATTTTGACCCATCAAAGTTTTACAGTTACGAAATCTTCTACATTTTCGTATATGTCCTAGCATAAATCATACAGAGACAGAACTATATACCGTCCACGATGTGTATTGCACTTTTGGGTAGTCCGACTTAATTTTACTTTTCACTTGCACCCAAGGTCTTCCTGTGTTTCACATCTTCGTTAGAAAATTAAGCAACAAAGTTCACACCATCTTTTACACTAACTGATACTAAACACTCATATCTGCCCCACGTGCTAGCGTGGGTCTTCCGGGCTGGCTTTCTTTGAAAATTTAAAAGTTGTTAGAGTGATGCATAATATTTTAATCTCATATTTAAGTACTACAACTTTTAGATCTTAAACAAACAAATCTTAGGGGATGATGGGTACTACTGCATTCCGACTGTATTTCTCACATGCCAACATATCAAACATAAACAAAATAATCGAAGGTTTTCACATGTACTTACCCTCCACAACCAACCCATAGTAAAGCATGAAAACCAAGTTATTCCATGGAGAAGCCGTCAGCTGCTCCACCAATACCTGAAAAAGTTTCACCAAGAATATTAGAATGGTCAATATGTTCTTCCACTTTTTCTTGGAGACAGGGGAAGGGAAAATGGGAGCATGAGGGAAAGTATAGCCTACCTTCTTTGCTACTGTTTTTGAATCCTTCTTCCCCTTGAAAATCTTATCTAGCATTGTATGCAGGAAATGCCCAAATGGTCCAAGATAAACAGCTCCGAGAAGCTGCGCTTAGAAATGCTAATCGTGTAAAATATATGCCACAGTAGTTATACACATTAAAACATCTTAGCAGATTAACAATTTTAGGGACAAGCATGAACTGTCTTAAAATGATAGTACTTATTCATCGAACCAAACTTCTTACAGACAACAAGAAAGTATATTATCACCCGTAATAATTGTAATTACTGCTGCTAGATGGTTTTTTTTTGGGGGGGGGGGGGGGGGGGGGGGGGGGGGGGGGGGGGGGGGGGGGGGGGGGACCATCATCTCCAACAGTAACGCTGCATATTTTGCATTTTCTCATGTTAGAGGCTTTAACCATCATGCCCCACTCAAACATTAAATGAGAGGGGAAGAAAAATTCCCAACTTTCACCGAAATTTTGGTACTAACTGATATTTAGGTTCAAGTCCATAACAAAACTAGTAGCCATTTTTTCGACAAGGGCATAAATTAGGTTCAAAAGATCGAACAATGTGTTTGTAGACATGTAAATTTATTTCGTGTTTACAGCGTTACACCAACTTTACTACTTTCAAAAATCCCCTCCTTCTTTCATATACAATATACCACACATACACAGATGAAAGAAACAAACTTGTGTAAAATCGGCAAACGCAGAAACCGCAAATAAAGATGGAATCCTAATGGACCTTACCACTTTGAGAAGAAGCCGTCTTATCTGAAGTTTCTGAATGCCAGTGAGCTTCTGAGACACTATGTCACTGATCGCCGACAAAACGCCCGCTGTAATTGCCTGTTCGGATAACAAACAAAATGATCATCAGCCTCAAATTCCCAATTAACAACTTGTTACACCATATTGCTCAGCTCGAAACACCAATTAACTACTAATCACAATTAAGGAATTTGAGCTGAAAATACATCATCTTTGAAAAATCCCAGATGAGAAAGCAACCAAAACACACAAAAAATTCAAGCTTTGGGGTTTTCCTCTACTTTCTCGGGAGCCAAACAGGGGTTTAAGAAGGAAAACGGAAATCATGATAACCCAAAAAAAGTGAGACATAATTTGATAAAAGGCATAGAATTTGACCTTGGTTCTGAGCGGATGATGCTGAAGCTGAAGCAAGTACTGCTGCAACCCCTTCTTTGCAATCGACCCCATGAGATTTTCTTCGTTACAAAGTCGTCCGATTTCTTGAGAGGAGCTGAAAAGAATGGATGCTTTACCTTTGAGAAATATATGGGGGAACTAATGGGAATAGGAAGTCAATGGGAATCGTCTCCTCTACCCGTCCCATACCTTTCTCATTTCCCTTTATTTTTATAAAAACATCAATATAAAAGGTTAGCGTAACTTAACCGTAACCACAGAAATAAAAGAGTATGAGAAATGTATGGAATGCATACCTTTCTCATTTCCCTTTATTTTTATAAAAACATCAATATAAAATGTTGACGTAACTTAATCGTGATCATAGAAATAAAAGATATGGGAAATGTATGAAATGGAAAGGACAGGCAATCCAGATCCTAATTAATGATACGCAACTGTTGGAAATCAGGACAGCTGTGAGAGTGACAGAGGTTCATGTGCTTGTGGGTCCCGCCTCGCCGAAGGGGAGAGCAGGGGGACGGAGTGCCCAACTGAGCCAACACTGTTGTGTTATTATAATGTCGTAATAATGCTTCGCATATTCTCCGTCTGCGGTTTAAGCAATCACTCAGCAACCATAAGCAGGCGAGGAGGCATCTTCTATCTCTTCTTTCAGGAAAACGGGTTCGAAGTGTGAGGTTGTCAAAAATGGGTTGCCGATTTTCAGCTTGAAATTATTGAAAAGTTAATTTTGGTCCAAATTAGAAAAATAAAAAACTTTATTTATTTCTACAAAAATAAAGATATCGAAAACAATGCAAATGATGGATTATCCTAATTAATAATTATTAGAATTTCATATTTCACTCATTATATCTCTGTGTACAAATCCCTCTAAGTGTACATTAGTGTAGAACAATGCTGATGTTAACAAAATATTGCAAACAATTATCAAACTTTTAATACAAACGATGTTTTTACTCTAAAAGGAGGGATAAAGATTTAACTCGAGACACAATGAATTGAAGAGGGAGATCATAACTATTAAAACAATCCACTGCTTATAACCTTTTTAATTAAAAATGATAGTAAAAAGGGTTAAGAAAAAACTTAATAATTACTAAAAATCGTATTTATTCATAATTGAAAAAAACAATGAAGACGTGCATCGCAATAATCTTCGATGAACAAATTAGGTGACTTGGAATTTTTGTGAAACTATTGCCATAGTTTAATTCATGACGTAAAAGTTGATATTCACAAATTGTCTTGAAAATGATAGCAAAAATGGGTTAAGGAAAATACTCAACTTCATTTTTTATATACAAATTAAAATTTGACATGTATCTATGACTATATTTTTTTTCTATTAAAATATTAATAATTTACTTTTATATATGCATATTACATTAGATTGTAATTTGTAGATAAAAGACATTCATAAGTTAATGAACTCAAAGCATGAAGTGCAAAGTTAAGCCACAAATTTAGGTGAACGAAACGTGAGTAGTGCAAGTTTTGCAAAAATATAACAATTAAGAGATAATTGCAGCAATGGTCTATGAACTTTAACTCAACTTTAGTTCATGAACTAAAAATTCGTGAGTATTGATCCCTGAATTGTTATAGTGTGAAACAATGGTTCTTTTAGCTAACCCATTCAAAACTTCTATCCATTTTTTCCCTTTAAACCTTTTATTTTGAATGAAGAATCTAATGGAGTTAGCCAAAATGAACATTGCTCCACATTATAACAAGTTTGGAAACTAAGGGGTGTGTAGTCAATTTGGATTTCAGAAGATTTTAAAAGACTTTTTACAAGTGACAGATTTCAAAAAATTTTAATAGATTCTATGATTTTATATAGATTTTGGCAAATTATAGATTTGTATTATAGATTTCTATGAATTTTTATGGATTTCAAAAGATTTTAACCTATACAAACTCCTGCCAAATGTTGCCATAGAGAAGAAAATGGCCAAGTTTTGCTATCGTGAAAATTGTTCTAATTCATGGCCCAAGTTTTGCTTACAATTTGGTAAGAACCATCAGCTCAAATATAATCGTTTGAATGCGACAGGGAAGAAAAGTACTCATGGCACTCATGGCAGGGAAGAAAAGTACTAATGGCAGGAATGCATAAACAACTTCCATTAAAGCAAATAAAGAGTCAGCTATGACTACTCTAATGAAAAAAAATGGAAGAGTGAGATTCCGCCATCTTCTATCTCTTGAGAAATTATTTATGTTTCAGACTGTTCTTTTCACATTCACTCTTGATGCAGATTTCTGATGAACGTGAAAAGAAATCGGTTGATGCCATCTTGAAAAACTGTTCTTCTTCTGTTTGAGACTGTTCCTCTTCTATCTATAAATGTGAAAAGAAATCAGAGGGGATGGAGTAAGATTCTTGATGCAATTTGGTATTTATATCACCCACCTTGAAATCCATCAAAATCCTTTTACAATTAAAATCCTAACTACCCCTAGGCCCTAGATTTGTACTGATTTTTTTAAATCATATTTGACTGCCCATAGATTTTGTTGTATTTTTTAAAATCTTACCAAATCTTAATTTGACTACACTATGATTTCAAAATCCTTTAAAATCATCTTATAAAATCCTGATTGACTACTTTTAGATTTTAAAGTCTATTAAAATCCTATCAAACCCTAATTTGACTACACCCCCTAATACTAACGGATTTTTACTTTAGGAATTAAAGCTCTAAGTGGGCCAAAATTCAAGATAATTGCTCTTATTTTCTCAACAAATTAAAGAAAAACAGAAGGAGGAGGATTGCATTTAGAAAATTAGAATCTGATACGTTGAGGCTTGAAAACTAGTAGTTGGGAGACCTCTTCAAGTCGCACGTCGATTATCAAAATTGACCGCTAAAAGACCAAGTGATGAAGAGAGACCTATTCAAATTGCAAGTAAATTGATAAAATTGACCAAAACAAAGAGTTGTCAGTTTTTTTAAATATTGCATTTGTGAGGGTGAATCAAATGCAATGGTGGACGAAATTTTGAAAAACATTTGAGCTATTATAATTTATAAATTTGTATATTTGGTCGTTAAACTTCTTCATTAAATAATATTGACAATGTTTTGTTTAGTCGAATGTGACATTTTTTTTTTGTCAAATAATTGTGATATATTATTGTAATATTACTTAAAAGATGATGCTCGAGAAAATGAGTTTGAAAATGATAGCAAATTGGGTCTAAAAAAGTAAAATAATTATAGATAAATAAAAACAGAAGGAGAAATATGATATTATAAAAAAGGATGAATCCGTGACACCGTTGTTATTTACACAATTTTTGACATATGTTTTGAGGGGCAAACTTTGTAATATATTTCAACGATCTGAACTGTCTATCTTTTAAGTTTCCCTTCAAAGATCAAATCTACCAAAAATCATTCAAATCTGAAATCATATGACTACATGACCGCTAGGTTTAGGATTTCTTTATGGAAATTAGTTTGTCAAATTTCTACATTACAAATGAATGTCTTAATGATTTTGACTTTGTTCATTTTGTTCCAAAAATAATCTATAAATGATGTTCTAAAAAATAGACGATAGAGATCGTTAAAACATATTATAGAGTAGATCCCACGAAAATATGATGTGAATAGAGACAGAAAGACCACTTCCATTTAGAGGTCAAAAACTTGTAAGTTGGACTTTAGATTATTAAGCCCAGTTGTCAAATAGAGTACAACGCAAGTAAACGTATCCTCTAATCACTATACATTAGCGGTGAACACATGTAATGTTTTGGTTTACTCCTTTTATATTTGTGTTAATTAATCAACATATAAAACACTATAAAAACGAGAAACGGTATATCATTTTACTAAATATTTAAGTATCAAAATCCCTCCTAAACTATCACTAAAGTATCTCTTTACCATATGTTTTTGCAATTGTATCACTTTATCTAATATCATTTTGTATATCACATAACACCAGTTTGCAAAATTCGTCAATTAACGAATAACTTCTGCTCCACAATATGGCATGATATTAATAATATGAATGACATTTTGATGATATATTAAGTATCTCATATTAATAAAAAAATTAATTAATTAGTTAACACACGGAGTTGATGAACTACGGTAATGTGAATTACAAATTGAAAGTTTAGAGAGGAAAAGTGATACAGTTGCAGAAGGAGAGGATGAAGCCATACTTTTGAAATACTTGGTGGTGCATTTTGATAGTTAAGCATTTTACTAACGTAATGTTGATTGAGCAGTGTTAATCGTGTCGACATCAAGGTTTATATTAATATAAGTTTTCAGTCGTGTAATGTATGTTGTATGAAATTCTTGTTATAGTTCTGACTCTCCTTTTGATCTTGTTCTTTGATGTATTCGGCGATAGACTAAACTTCACAAATTAGAGAATAACTTGAAATACACAAGATTTATAATAGTTAGGCAAGACTTTTGCCGACGTCCAAATGTGATTTCTCTTAGTATAGAAATCACGGCTTCCTTATTAATAAAGCATACAATCCTTTTGCAAATCCTAAACTAATCCCTCTCCTCTCGGTTGTCTCGGGCTTTTCTCTCTCTTGTTTCTAGCTTTGCCGCACCCTATTTGTACGTATAGGATGTGGTTTACATGCTTACTCCTTGTTAAGTTTCCTACTCTAAGTGGGATAGGAAAATACACTTTCTTTTCTTTTTCCAATTGTACTTCTCTAATTCCCGCTCTAAATTGTAAAAGGCAACTTAATTATTTTCTAATATAATTTTAAACAAAATAGGATACTAATGTTGACAAGCTAAATTTCGAACAATTCTTACCCATGCTAATACTATACGTGTGTGCATGAAGACGAGAGAGAGAACGAGTGAAGGCAATGCAAAATAGTGGACCAAATATTGAAGAGGAAAATTAAAAATAAGGGAATGGGTCACGCTGCAGGATCAGGTCAGCCAATAAACCAAGTCCAGTCAATATTTCCAAATTTGACCCCTTCTTACCTTTTCAGTTTTCAGCTCTCCCGCATATAAATACCCACCACATCCCACCCTCTTCTTCCATTCCCAACCCCTCTCCTTCTACTACTCCAAACTGAAAACCCACCTGAGATCCTCTGCTCTCGACACTCTTAACAAAACACAGCACCCCAACCAATCAAATGGCTTCCCTCCAAACTTCATCTCCTGTCTTCTCTTCTCCCTCATGTCGTTCTTCCTCAAACAGAACCATATATGCCCCCATTCATGCCCGCAAGCTCCCAAGAGTCCGCTTCGCTGACCTGAAACAAACCACGAAGCTCGTCCTCCAAGGTCTCCAGTTGAAGGAACAAGTTCTGCAACAGGAAAACACCGATTTGTATAGCAACAATCACTCTGCAGAAGCAGCAGCTCCTACAGCTTCCACAACTCAGCTCTACGCGCTCTTAGAGGCTGTGGTGGACAGAGTGGAGATGCACGCGAACATCGGCGACCAGCGCAATAACTGGAACGCACTCTTACTTAGCTCTATCAACATGATCACTCTCTCCGCTTCCCTAATGGCCGGAGTTAATGCAGCTGCTGGAACGTCCGTTTTGGCATTGAACATTTCATCGGCTATTTTGTTTTCCGTAGCTACCGGAATGCTGCTTATCATGAACAAGATCCAGCCTTCGCAGCTCGCAGAGGAGCAGCGCAATGCTACGAGGTTGTTCAGGCAGCTCCAGAGCGAAATTGAGACGGTGTTTGCTCTTCGTGATCCTACTGAGAAAGATGTGAAGGAGACAATGGAGAAGGTTTTGGCTCTTGACAAAGCTTACCCTCTTGCGTTGCTCGGTGCCATGCTCGAAAAATTCCCCAAAAAATTGGAGCCGACTGTTTGGTGGCCTAGAAATGTTGTTCAATCTCAAAATCCAAGGAAACCGAAATCCCAGATGGGAAATAATGTGAATGGATGGAGTGAAGAACTTGAAAGGGAAATGAGAGAAATTATTCAAGTTGTGAAGAACAAGGACCTTGAAAACTATGTGAGATTAGGAAGCTCAGTCGTATTAAAGACCAACAAGATTTTGGCAGTTTTGGGCCCTGTGCTTACTGGGATCGCGGCTGTTGGATCCGCTTTTGTAGGCCATGGATCAGCCACTGTCGCAGTTGCAACAGTGGCTGCAGGCTCTTTGGCTAGCGCAGTGAATGCTTTTCAGCATGGCGGGCAAGTAGGGATGGTGTTTGAGATGAATAGGAACTGCGCCGGCTTCTTCAACAAGTTGGAGGATTCAATTGAAGCAACACTTGGAGAACAAGACTGGGAGAAGAGAGAAAATGGGGTGGTTTTTGAAATGAAGGTTGCAATGCGGTTGGGAAGAAGCTTGGAACAGCTCAGAGAACTTGCATCGAAATCAGCTTTGTATCGTTCGAACGGAGAACCCATAGACGAATTCGGTTGCAAGCTTTTCTAATTAGTGTAAGAGTATAAAGAATGGTTAGGATCATGCCACTTGTCATAAGATTGTAGACCTAAGTTGGTTAGTTAGCTAGAGACTTGGTTCTCTATATATACATCGGATCAGGATCCCCTCCTGATCTAAGGATGAGGCCGTTGGATGAAAATCCAACGACTATAATTATTATAACTTTAAAGGGACCCCCTTGTTTGTAGCCGTTGGATTTCCATCCAACGGCCCACATTTCTTGGTCATGAGGATCCCCATACAAAGATCAGGAGAGGATTCTGATCCATATACATCAATGTAATAGCTTCTATAGTAAGAAATGAAAGCATAACAGATTAATGCAATACTTCTCTCTTTAAGATTCTCTCTCACTCTTCTTCTTCGATCTCTCTTTCTCTCTAGTTCTTGAAACCCTAGCTATCTTTCTAAATCTTCTTACATTAACATGGTATCACTCACCATTGATGCTTACGTTGCAATCTCCGATCCTCTGGCTGCTTCCGCTCATCTTCTCCGTCTGTAATTCTCCAATCTGGTATTCTTCTTTGTCAACAACTTCTAGGGTTTTTGCCATTCTTGATCTTCTTGTGCACACCAGGTTTTGTAATTTTTCCTCTGTTATAAATCTTTTCATTTTGCTACAGCAACTATGGTGACTGCATCACAATTACAAATTTTACAATCTCCGATCACTGGTCTTATTTCTATAATCTCTACATCTGTGAATGTGAAGCTTGATGATTCTAATTACTTGAATTGGCAATTTCAAATGCATTTGTTATTGAGGGCCACGAAATCTTGGGTTTTGTTGATGGATCGTATGTTTGTCCCCCTCGATATGTTACTGGTTATGCTAATTCTGATGGTTCTGGTCTTGCTGCTGCAAATTGTTCTTCTCAATCTGAGAATGAAGACTATATTGTTTGGAAGATGCACAATCGTGCTCTTATGCAGTTGATCACTGCTACTTAGTCTCCAGTAGCAATTTCATGTGCCATTGGTAGCACCAGTGCCTATGATCTGTGGACTCGATTAAAGGAACAATTTTCGGCTGTCTCTCGGACTAGTATAATTCAACTTAAGTCGAATCTTCAGACTATTTGAAAGGGTTCGAATTCGATGTCTCAATATTTGCAACGTATTAAGGAAGCTAGGGATTATTTGTCTGCTGCTGCGGTCACTTTTGCAGATGAGGATATTGTTATACTTGCCTTCAATGGCTTACCTCCAAAATATAATACCTTCCGTAGTGTTATAAGAGGTCGTGAAAATGTTATTTCTCTCAAGGAATTTAAGGTACAATTGCTTGCTAAGGAGCTTATTGTTGATAGCAATGTGAACTCACAGATTCTCACTGCCATGATTGCTAACAATTCTAGTCCTCAATCTCCCACAGCTCAACCTCGATCTGGAAGTTCAGGTCTTGGTTTCTCAGGTCACACTAATGGTTTCAATAGTGGTTATTCTGGTTCTTCATGAGGGTATCGATCTTTTACCAACAAGAAGGCAAAGGCAAATTTCATCAAGGGTATAGGTATCTTAATCCTAATTCTCGACAACAATTTCACACTACTTTTCCTAATTCGAACCCTGGTGTTCTTAGTCTTTCTCCACCACAGTACTTTGGTCTTCATACCACACCATAGGTTCCTTGTCAACTGTGTAATACATTTGGTCACACGACTCCATTCTGTAACTCAAAACAAATGGATAGGCAAGGTTGTAACATCTGTGGTAAAACAAATCACACTACCTGGTATTGATTCTTTAATGACAAAGGGCCTAATTTTGGTGGTCCACGTCATTCTACATCAACTACGACTACATATGCTCCTTCTACACCAACATTTTCACCTTAGTCTCATATGCAAGCTATGCACATAGTCACTTCTCAATCATCCCCAACTTCCACATCTCATCATCAATCACAGATTTAGATTACTGACTCGGGTGCTACAAATCATATGACATCATACCTTAGTAACTTGTCACTGGCTTTTCCTTATCCTACAAATAAGACCGTGCAAACTGCAAATGGTGAAGGTTTACAAATATCTCACATTGGTAGCTCCATTATTCAAACACTCGTGCATCCAATAAAATTCAATTATGTTCTCTATGTGCCTAGACTTTCAAGTAACTTGTTATCAGTTCACAAAATTTGTCTTGATAACAATTGTTGGTTAATATTTGATGCTTATTGCTTCTGGATTCAGGACAAGGCCACATGGAGGATATTATACAAAAGACTATGCAATAATGGACTCTATCCCATCTCTTCACCCGTTCGTCATCACTCATTACACAGTTCAGGCACTCCCAAAGCTTCTGCATTTCTTGGTCAGATTGTTAGTTCTAATCTCTAGCATAGTAGGTTAGGTCGTCCTACTAATAACATAGCCAAAATAATGCTGCATATGTCTTCCATTTCTTGTACAAAAGATGATGTCCCATTGATGTGTCATGGTCTGCCTTTTCAATCTAGTGATCATAAATCTGTAATTCCTTTTGCAACTGTACACAGTGACCTTTGGGGTCCTTCTCCATGTAATTCCATTTATGGCTATAAATACTACGTGACTTTTATTGATGAGTGCACTCGATATTGTTGGTTGTTTCCCTTTGTCAACAAGTCAGACTTCTTTGAAACCTTTGTTGTTTTTTATTCTTTTGTACAAACTCAATTCTCGGTGTCTATCCAAATATTACAAACTAATGGTGGTGGAGAGTATAACAGTGCTAAACTTCAATATTTCCTTCATAGTAAAGGCATTACACATCATAAGTCTTGCCCACATATACCAGAACAAAACGGTTTGGCTGAAAGGAAACACATGCACATTATTGAAACCACTGTCACACTTTTACAATCTGCAAAATTACCCTCTCATTTCTAGTCTTTTTCTTGTCAAGTAGTTGTGTATGTTATCAATTGTATGCCTGCTCCTATCTTGAAGAATTGTTCACCTTTTGAGGCTCTATTTGGAGCCCCCTACCTCAACTCATCTTCGAGTCTTTGGTTGTTCTTGCTTTCTATTATTGAGACCTTACATCAAAACAAAGTTACAACCTAAAACCACAGAATGTGTTTTCCTTAGGTATGGCTCAAAGTACAAGGATTTTATATGTTTTGATGTCTTAACGGGTAGAATTTATATATCTCGACATGTTGTCTTTAATGAGTCTAGATTCCCATATCCTCATTTGATTGTGAAACATACATCCACACCTGTCCAGGTATCTTTACCTCAGTCTTTACCTTCATATCATGTACCTGATATGAATAACATCTTAGTTCAGCTTCCAATTACATTCACCATCACCATCTATGTCATCAAATAGTGTCATCTCTTCATCATCAGTTTCATTGTCTCCTTCATACATAACTTCTTCTTCTGTATCAGTACTATCCCCTAGTACGTTGTCATCACCAGAGAATGTTACATCTCTGTCCATTAATGCACTTGCAAGTTCTTCACAATTACTCCCTGTGGATCCTGAGTTTAGTTCTGATCTCCTTCAAGTGGTATTGCCTATAGCACCACTTAATTTGAATGATATTATTATCTTTGGGAGTTCTACTTTCTCTATTCAGCAAGTCATTCAATCTTTGACAACTGAATTCGATATCAAGGACTTGGAAGAGCTGCATTACTTTCTAGGGATTCAGATTACCAAAATTGATCAAGGTTTATTCTTGTCACAGTCAAAGTATATCCAAGATTTATTGGAGAAGGTTGAAATGATGGATTGCAAGGCATGTGACACTCCATGTATTCCATACAATAGACTATTGAAAGATGATGGTATTCCATACAACAATCCAACAATATATAAAAGCATCATTGGAGCTTTACAGTATCTTACTTTCACTCGGCTTGATATTGCTTTCTTAGTTCATTAAGTTTGCCAATTTCTGCAGTCTCCAATGGTGTTTCATTTCATAGCAGTGAAACGTATTCTACGATATCTCAAGGGTACCTTATCATTTGGTCTCTCTTATACTCGGGGTGCTTCGTCATTAAAAACTTTTAGTGATGCAGACTGGGTTGAGGACCATAATGATAATCCGGTCAACTACTGGCATGGTTGTCTTTTTGGGTAATAATCCTATTTCGTGGTCCTCTAAGAAGCAAAACACGGTTTCCAGGTCATCTACAGAGGCTGAGTATAGAGCTATGTCAACCATAGCTCCTGAGCTTGACTGGATTCAACAATTGTTACAGTTCATGCATGTTAAATCTCGTGATGCTCCTGTGCTTTTCTGTGATAATCTTTCTGCCATTGCATTGTCGTTCAACCCTGTTCATCATCAACAGATAAAGCATATTGAGATTGATGTGAACTTTGTCCGTGAACGAGTTGCTAAGAAGACACTACTAGTTCAGTTTGTTTCATCTTGGGAACAATTTGCATATATACTCACTAAAAGTCTCAGTGCTCCTCTATTTCGCTCTCATTGCTTCAACCTTATGCTTGGTTCCTCCAAGACATGGGTTTGTGGGGGGATGTAGGAGTATAAAGAATGGTTAGGATCATGCCACTTGTCATAAGATTGTAGACCTAAGTTAGTCAGTTAGCTAGAGACTTGATTCTCAATGTATACATCAATGTAATAGCTTCTACAGTAAGAAATGAAAGCATAACAGATTAATGCAATACTTCTTTCTCTAAGATTTTCTCTCACTCTTCTTCTTCGATCTCTCTTTCTCTCTAGTTCTTGAAACCCTAGCCTACATTAACAATTAGTTCATCAGATTTTGTACAAACATAACAAAAGGAAAAATTATTTGATTCTTTAGTTACTTGTAGAATCTAACAATTCATTTGATTCTTTGTACAATGATGTAACATAAACAATTTAGTGTTAGCACTCAAAGTTCTCACACTACAATTTGTTTCTTTTGTCGAATTAAGCTTTGTTTAGCGTTAAACAACTGCGGTTTGCGCTTAATTAGTATTTATTGAAAACAAAATTTTATGACCTTGTTGAGAGAGGGAGTTTTGAGTTTAGTAGTTGAACAAAATAAAGTCGTTTTCAACCTAGTTGAATGTTTTAATGAAATGCCAGTTCGTACCAAAAATATATTACAAAGTTTGCCCCACAAAACATGTGACCACATGACCACTATATCTGAACCATCTATCTTTTAAATTTTCCCTCAAAGATCAAGTCTACAAAAAATCACTCAAATCTGAAATCATGTGACCACATGACTGCTGGGTTTAGGATTTCTTTATTGAAATTAGTTCGTCAACTTTCTTCACTACAAATGAATGTCTTAATAATTTTGAATTTGTCTATTTTGTTCCAAAAATAATCTATGAATAATATTCTAAAAGATAGATGGTACAATTC